GCACCGCACCGCACCGCACCGCACCGCACCGCACCGCACCGCACCGCACCGCACCGCACCGCACCGCACCGCACGCAACGCACGCACCGCACGCAACGCACGCACCGCACGCACCGCACGCACCGCACGCACCGCACGCACCGCACGCACCGCACGCATCGCACGCCCGCCCGCACGCACGCCCGCGCGCGCGCGCGCGCACGCACGCACGCACGCACGCACGCACTCACTCACTCACTCACTCACTCACTCACGCACGCAGCCACGCACGCAGCCACGCACGCACGCAGCCACGCAGACACGCAGACACGCAGACACGCAGACACGCAGACACGCAGACACGCAGACACGCACATACATAGACATACATAGACACACATAGACATACATAGACACACATAGACATACATAGACACACACGCATAGGCACACACGTAGACACACACGTAGACACACACATAGACACACAGAGACACACACAGACACACACACACAGACACACACACACAGACGCACACACAGACACACACACAGACACACACACACAGACACACACACAGACACACACAGAGACACACACAGACACACACACAGAGACACACACAGAGACACACACAGAGACACACACACACATACACACACACACACACACCCACACGCACGCACACGCGCACGCACGCAGGCACGCAGGCAGGCACGCACGCACGCGCGCACACACACACACACACACACCCGCGCGCGCGCGCGCACGCATGCTTGCACGCACGCACGCACGCGCGCGCGCGCGCACGCAGCACGCGCTCACGCAGCACGCGCGCACGCACGCGCACGCGCACGCGCACGCGCACACGCACACGCACACCACACACACACACCGCACACACACACACCATAATTACACCACAGACACACGCACACACACCACACACACACACACAGCACACACACACACACACACGCGGACACACACACACACAAACACACCCCACACACCCACCACACACACACACACACGCGTGCCCCCCATGCGCACGCAAGCACGAAAGCAGCCGCACAATTGGCACAAGCACAGGCACGTGCAGAGGCACACGGACACGGACAAGCGCAACCAAGACAACCTGCAAACAGACACGCCACTTGTGCAAAGGCCACACCCACCCGCACCCGCACACCGACACCAGCCCCTGCACAGACAGACGCACGACCATGCACACCGGCGCACGCCCACGCACACTCAAACGCACACGCAAACGCACACCCAAACGCACACCCAAGCGCACACTCACATGCACACTCAAACGCACACCCACGCATTCGCGCCCACCCACACGCTCGCAGCCAGACACAGACAGACACTGACACAGAAGACTGAGCAAAGATAGACTGACACAGACAGACAGACAGACACAGACACCGACACAGACACAGACAAACATGCAGACCCCCTAGGGCTGGTGTTGCTTGGGGCTGGTTGGTTTCTTGACTTGCTGGCATGGATTTTGTTGGTCGGTTGGTAGGTTGTAGTCAGGTTGTTTGTTGGTGGTTGGGTTGGTGGTTGGGATGGTTTGAAGCTGGTTAAGTTGCTTGGGCTGGCACGGGACATGGGGAAGCATCGTCAGCACCATGTCGCCAGTTCAACGTTGTGGGCTGGCTTTGGGCCGCCTGAAGGCTTTATCTTGGGTGGGATCATTTTTGCAGGGCGCACGGTTAGTTTAAGGTTGGGCTAGTTCTCGGCTAGCAAGGTGACAGATCAGAAAGCAGGTTCAGGTGACGGGGATTGTTCCCTGGCATGTTCCAGAGGAACAAACCAGCCCCAGTAAGAACAAAGCACCTCCGTTTCGGGGCCCGCTAAAAATACGGTCCTTGTGCCTTTAAACTGGCTCAGCTCATGTTGCTTGAAGGTTGCAACTAAAATAGGCTTTACAGTACAATAGCGGCATGCAATGCGCGCCTTCCCGACCCCCAAATCGACAGTCACAACTTTTCAGTGTATACGAAGTTCAGACAGATAGGTAAGATAGGTAGACAGCTAGTTGCACGGATAAATAGTTATATGGATAGATAGACGTAGGCTAAGAGGCAGGATGGCTAGGCAGAGTGACGCTCAGATAGATATGTGACATGCCACGTTAACACGGTAGCTGTGGGAGGTTAATTTGCGTTCGGGTTACTGGTTTTCATCACGTCCGTTGTTTTACTTTTCAATCATTGGGGAGCGCTGATCAGGAAGGGACTGACACTTTCGCCAGGTTTGCAGCGACGAGCCTCCGGAGATTTTCTGGGCGACCAGGCGCGGCCCGACTTGATGAGCTTTGGCTAGGGGCGCCAACTACTCCATTTGTTAGGGAATCCTTGGTTGGCGGCTTGGATTGGTGGATTGCAAGCCTGGCTCTTGTAGACCAAGCTTTGCCTCGACAAGTGTGCCATGACATCGCGGGCTATGGACAAGAAGAGCCAACAGTTTCAGATTCGTTTGCGCGTGTGTGTGTTTTGTTTACAGGCTGGGCTGTGCACGGGCTTCTTTTCTTCAGTTGTGGAGCCACCGACGAGGAATTTGTCCTGGGTGAGGGTGTGGCCTGCCTTTGGAGACATGGCACCAGGTGCGCCAATCAATGTGAAGCGCAGGCGGTGGCAACTGCGCGGGCCTGCAACTGCAGCTTGCTGGTTTCTGCCGACACCCGCGCTTGTACTACTTGCCTTGAAAATCTAACAAATGGACCATCGCGTCTCATTGCACTTACCCACCCGACCTAGGGAACACAAACAAACCGCGGTATCAAAGGTTGCCTTGGCTACCCCTAGCTCTCAGGCACAGCATGCGTGTCGGGAGGCGTGGCCGCTTCCATATGGGCATCTTCAGAGGCACCAACAACACCAGCCCCATCATGACCTCCTTCGCTGTCCGTCCAGACTGTGCGTTCTCAGTGCAGCGTTTTCGCGCAAGCACAAGCAAGTTGCTTTCGAATGTAGCGCGCAAGTTGCATCAGTAAGTAGCACTAGCGAGTTGCGACAGCAACGTAGCGCTAGCAAGATGCAGTAGCGAGCGCGATGCACTAGCTAGTAGCGCTAGCAAGATAGCACCAGCAACATTTGCACCAGCAAGCGGTGCGAGTTGTTGCACTAGCAAGTTGCGGTGGCAGGTTTTCATTGTCTCACACCAGATAAACATCTTTGCTAATATTCCTATGAATTCGTGCGTGAAAGCACGTGGATCTCGGCAAGCACACGTTTTCTTTGAAGGCGCCAGGCAAAAACACGTATTTTTATGTGCACAATGACAAGAAAGAATGGAACACAGAAATGCTCTGCGCTACATGAGCAAAACAGCCTCCCAATAAAAGCGCACTTGATTTGAACCGATGCATCGAGGTATCCACTGCTGACACCAGCTAAAATATCTTTGGTAATAGCCTGCCACTATGGTACTTTTCATGCAAATGCCCAAGCAGCGAGTGCTAGCTAGGCGTATGAGTTATTAAGAAAGTATGGCGACCGCGACCTAAGCAACTCAACCGCGCGCAACGACAATGAAGATCAATGAAGTTGTCGAAGCACACACAGGGCGTCAGTAGGGGAATTAAACATTTAAGGCGGCCCAAACCCCCAGTGACCGAATCCATGAGCGCCATAGCTTTTGAGGGATTGACATATTTGTTTTGCAGTCTCTCAGCAGACATGGGCAGGTCCGCCCTTTCAGCTGTGGCGGGCAGGCGTCACGGTCCTTTACCTGGGGATATTTTATTTCAGGCTTGGAGTTTTCAGCCCGCCACGCAGTTGTTCAGCGGATGCCGCCATCTAAGTAAAAAGAACCAGTCGCTTTCTCCCCCAGAAGGACTTCGGCGATTCCCACGACGCAGGCCTGTGCCAATGATGGGCAACTTTGGGAAGCTGGCGCAGCGGGTGAGCCTGTGAAGTGTAGGCCGCTTGAAAGTCCGGGAATTGACACACAGATTGACCTGGCATCCTGTTCCCCCCAAAGCGACAGGGCTCTGCAAAACACGATTGTTGTTGAATTCCATGTGGCTCTGACGGCTGTATGGGTCGAATCCCTGGAGCCGATGGGCCGCTGGCCTGCGTCGCGCACGGTGTGTACTGGCATGAATCCGGCATGACGTCAAGGCAGGTCATTGTTGCAACCTAGACCTGTTGGCAGAAATGCTGTGCCATTAAACTTGCAAAAGCCTTGGAGGAGCAGCCTTAATAGCCATATCGGCGCAGAATGGTTTTGCCTTCAAACACCGTTTTTTGTGTGGGCTCGGGACCTGCGAAGAACGGATAATCCAAAGCAGGTCCCCGTTTTCTACCAGGGTCAGCGGGCAATTGCGCCTGCAAGAGGACCTGGTTTGAGACCAAACACCAGTGATGAAAGTTCAGTTACTTGGGAAGTTGGCAGGCTTGTGAGTTCCCCGACAGTTTTTGGATTGGCAGCAACTCAATAATTCTATGTGGACAAAGTCAGATGCAGATGGGGCAGGCAAAAAGGGTCTGCAAACCAAATCCCCAGTACTTTTGTTTCAAGTGTGGGTACTTACTATATCTCACTTCCTGAGAGGACCATTTTAGTCTTAGTGGTACAGAAAAAGTTTGGACTTTTTTTGGGCCATCCACTCAGCCAGTGAGATATACCTCCTCAATCAAGCCTGGCAGTAAATGCCCCTGTAAGTTGTATATAACTTCCTTGACCCCAAGCCCACGGATTGGAGGAGCTTCACCCAGCTCCGCAGTTGAAAGCGCCTCGCAAGATCCAAGGAATGCACCCGCGGATAAGTTAGAAGCTGACTTCCTGAGTTCATGAACTTTAAACTTCTTGGGAAGACCATTTTGGTGGTAAATATAAAGTTTGAACTTTTTTTGGGCCATCCACTCAGCAAGTGAGGTTAACAGGGATGTTTGAAACCTTTGTTACCAGGCTCTCGGGCTGCAAGATCGTTTGGCAACGTGCCGGCGGCAACGCCAACTTGAACTGGCTAGCGCTCCAGCTGGCCCAGTAGTTAGAAGCGTCCTGCTTTTGGCCCCACCCGGGCGGATTTATCTTTGCGCAGGGAATGACTGGCCTTGTCCTGCGGTGTTAGGGGTTTCCTGGGGTTAATGGCTTTGAACGAAAGCAGGAAATCGACAGGTCCGACGATTTGCAAGTCTCCGTCTCCTTATGGAAACAACCGAACCAGGCTACTTCCAGTCCAAGCACAGTTTGCGTGGAAGTGCACTTCGGCTTGCTCCCAGCAGGTGTTTGTGAAAGCGCTCTCCGCATTGTTCCGAGCGTGACGCCAAGTGAATGTGAGGTTTGTCACGTTCCCTTCGGCCATACTTCAGCCCACGCACAGTTTTTTGCGTGGAAGCGCGCTCCTGCTTGCTCCCAGCAAGCGTTTGTGAAAGTGCGCTCCGGATTGCTCCGAGCGTGGTGCCAAGTGAATGTGAGGTTTGTCACGTTCCTGGCGGTGGTGAGTTTAGTTGACCCAGTTGCTCAGTGGATTTCCACCATCTAAGCCCTGTTTCGCTTGGCACGGAAGTACTGATACTTGCCAACTTTGAGAAGTGCCTTTTTTGGCAGTGTCAAAGGGTCACAGGGTAACTGGGTTGAGCAACTTTGAGCAGCCCTTTTTGCTTTGAATGTTCACTGTCAGCGTGGACGTGAGTCCACGCTGACATTGGGAGCTTCCCGCCCCCAGAAGACCGTAAGCCTCCAATCCGCGGGGCCAAGCGGCCAGAAACACGTGGCGCCGGTTGGAATCGGCATCTTGCGTGGCTTGTTTCGCAAGCGGTTTCAATCAGGACTTCGGCGCGTTTGCTTTCAAACCGGAATGCTTTTTGCGCGTGGCTTGGTGCAAGGCGAACAGCACACCCAATAGTTCAGCAAGTCGAACCCCTTTTTGTTCGGTTTCCCAACTGGGCAAGAGGTCCCAAGCAGTATGAATCGGAAACAGCCTGCGGACCCAGATGATCTCCAACAAGGACCTGTGCACAAAGGTTCTTTCGAGGATCTCGACGGAAGCTCACTGGCAGCAGCTGTCAAGAAGATCCATTTAGAAGTCCTGTAAAAGGATGCGCAAAGTCTTGCGGAATATGTCCTCGCTGGACCTATGCTCTGTGCAAGTTCTGTTTGGGGGATCTCAACAGACAGTGCCAGCGCGCGCACGGCGCTCTACCTTGCCGAGATTTCCTGCTGGAAGGTTACGCGCCAACCGCCTCTAAAAAAAGGGCCCATATGAGTAAATGGTGACGCACAAGATCTCGCTCGCGAGATCTTTTTGCTGGTCAGTGATGGAAGTTCAGACCGTGTCACTGCGGGAGTGATCCAACAGACCCAAAGTCCGCAGAGAGTCCGCTCTCGACAGTAGGCCCCGCACTGCACCGCAGTCAGAGCAATCCGACTCGGCTAAAGCCTGCAGGGGTTTGCACCTTGGCTTTAGAAACTGCCATGCTCAGCAGTCAATTTGACCAATGTGCGCAGAGGGCTCATGTTCGACTCGCAAAGATTAGCTTCGATGCTCAAATGCGCACAGCGCCGCAGCGAGAGAGCTCGGACGCGAGGCGCGCGCCAAACTCACAGCGAGAGCGCGCCAAAGTCACGCAAACAAACTTCTGTCTTGTTTTTTTTTTGGCGTACCTGGACGACTTCGGACTCTTTTTTCGGCAAGCCCACGTAGCGCCCCCCAGGATTGGAGGCATGTGTCGCGGAGGGGTGGAGTTCGACTCCCAATCTTGGAGGTGCAGAGCGCGGCGTGTGGAAGGGAATCCCACTTCGTATGGTAGAAACTGATGTTCTCTTATCCATGATGTTGCCCTTTCGGGGCTAAGCGGGGATGAGTGTTTTTTTTTTCAATTCCTTCTTAAGGCTTAGAAGAAAAACCACACATCCCGTGCAAATCGACACTGGATGTGTTGATGGGAACCTGCTACAAAGGGTTCGAGTAATTCTATGTCACCTTCGTGGCTCAGCATGTAGGTTTGGCGCTCGAAGGGGTAGCTGGTAGTCCTGAGTTTGACTCGTTCCCGCGCCATTTCGGCGGAAACCGTGGCGCGGAAACAATTCATTAGCTGCACTTCCCCAACCCGACATGTTCGGGCAAGAATGGCCAACCCTTGAATGTTCTTATATTTGAAGGCTGCCTAGCGCAGTAGGCTGCGTTTGCGCACCGCCAGAGCGCGCGCGAACTACGCTGAGCTCGGGCCAAAGTTGCTGGTTGTGTGTTTTAGCAACTGGACGGCTCGGGTATCAACTGGCCCTTGCCCTTTTCCATGCATCCTGCTGGTGTGTGTTTGGATCCATTGTGTTGGGGACCGTGGCCCTAAAGGCTCCATGGACCTTGGACACTGTTCATGATGGTTCTGTTTCTGGCGTGGCATCTAGGTTTAATTTGATCATAAAGTGTCAAACGAGCCACGTAAATCATCAACCACAACTACATCCGTCCAGATCAACATGGAACGCCTTTTGACTATTTCGAGCTTTTAACCCCCCTGCATCCCCATTGATCACATTGGACCGAGGGGTGAAAGCTGAAAGCCTTTGGTTGCATATTTTATTTATGGTTTTCTTTTTGCCAGTTTTCTTTTGTAGTTTGCCTTTTTGATCAGCTGTTGTCGATTGAGCTTGTGAGTTCAATCGGTTGGGTAGGGTCCAGGCTGCCGAGCTGGCCTTTTGCAGCCAGACTTCTTTGGCAAGGAGGCAAAAAGGGTTCCAAAGGCGAGGGTCCAGGCTGCCGCGCTGGCCTTTTGCAGCCAGACTTCTTTGGCAAGGAGGCAAAAAGGGTTCCAAAGGCGAGGGTCCAGGCTGCCGCGCTGGCCTTTTGCAGCCAGACTTCTTTGGCAAGGAGGCAAAGGGGTTCCAAAGGCAAACAACAAAGGGACAAAAGAATGACTTGGAATTCTCCAGCTGGAAAAGGCGGACGAACAACATTTGGACAAGGACCGCGGAAATCCCTGGAGCAGAAGTGTGTCCGATGCAATTCGTTTGATTCGGCTCCAAGGCAAACGTTTTTTTTAGTGGGCCGTATTTGTTTATTTGGGCAGAAGGGCAGATGGGAATTGAAGTTCCAAGAGGGTAGAGCGGGGTAGAGCCTGCAGACCAGAGAGGAAGTCACAAGGCAAGGACAGAAACAGCTGAACAAAGAAGCACAACAAAGGTATATTGTAACCATTGGTGGCTGCAATCAGGAGTCTTCGGGGCAGGGCTGTCAATTCATTTTTGTTTTCGAGGCCATTCGCTTTGCAAATGCTGCAGACTGGTTGGCAGTTGTTTTTCCCCCCGGAGAAGCCTACTTCTGTCCTTCGCTTCACTCAGATTCCTACACTTTCCCAGTGCCTAGCTGGACCAAATCCATTCAGCTTAAGCTGGCCTTGTCTCCACCCAGAGCCAACGGGCACTGGCCGCTGTAGGAATTTCCAGGGCTACTTCAACGTGGTCGCCTCGACTTTGACTGCGTCGTCGGTTGGTGGCAGTCCCGCATGCTTGGCCACCATCCTGAATGGACATCAGGAGGCAGGGTGTTTGGCCGGCCGCAACGGCCACCTGCTCACTCCTGAGAAACACCTTCCATTTGGTTAAGAATATGTTGCTATTTTCCACTGTTGGTTTTAAAAGGAATCTATGACTACTGGACTTCCCTTGGTTTTTCCCAGCCATGCATGTGTATGTTCATGACGGTTCAAGGAAACTGTCGACTATGTAGGTTGGGCGCCATGCCCCGGGAGCTACAGGCAGGCATTTGAGCCATTGCTGCGCGGTCAAATTGCTAGCGGGGAGCGAGGGCCAGGGTGACTTCGCGAAGATGGACAAGGCGCAGCGCGAGCAGAGCATACCTCACAGTGCAGAGGGCCAAGGCCTATGGGTCGGTCCTGTACACCTTGTTGGACGGGACAGCGCTCAGAGCCTTCGACCAGGTGGATACGGCGAGGTTTGGAGGAGCAGG